AAACAAAAAAAAAAAAAAAAGGGGGAAAAGGAAAAGGAATTTTTTTTTTCCCTTTTTTTTCCTTCCCCTCCCGTTTTTTTTTTCCCCAAAATGGATTTCCCCCCAAACATAAAATCTTCCTTTGATCATGATGTCGACCATATTTGGAAGGTCATAGTTTGGGGTCCAGTCCAGAGCTTCCCTGGCAGCAGAGTCCAGTAGTGTATCTGGCCAACTGTCAGCTGAGAGGGAGGGATGGGGGATGGAAGATAGATGGAGGGGATTATGAAAGGAAGTTACACACAGAAGCTTTTTCATCAAAACACCCTCATAAAAAGGGCTGGCAAGGCAAACCCAACCTAAACGTTTGTATTTTGTTTGCATGTAACATTAGCTAATGATCAAAACACACTTAAACCCCTACACAATTTTGTGTTGCGCTCTAGCAGCACCTTTGTTCATCGTCCTCTGAAGAAAGATGGAGGGAATTATGAAAACTGCACCACAAAACACAAAGTATATATAGCTAGTACTTTCACTACAGTTATGAACCTAACTACATCTAGAAGTTCGCAGAATATACACGACACACTCTAAGACTATAGTTTCAGCAGCCACCAAGACGACAGACATCCTCTCCGAGGTTCCTCAGAGCACAGACATTGAGTGTCTGAGTGATCCTGTCCCCCAGTCCCGGGTCATGCCTGGTTCCAGTCTCACACTCTTCTTCATCGAGACTGGAGATAGAGGTGGGGCAGGAGGGACTCACCCTCACCAGCCTACCATCTAGAACGAGGGAGGGACCCGTGGACACCCAACTCTGAATAATGCCCACCAGGTGGGTGGAGTTTGTGGTGGGGAAAGGGTTAACCAGAGTGGTGCGGTAGGTTGTCTTGGTAGGGTTGCCATGGCAAACAAATACTCCCTTTCTGAAAAAGCTCTGGGTTAAATTATAGCATTCGGAGCAACTGTTACGTATGATCTCAACGAAGTAAAACTGTAACTCTCTCTCGATAATAGCAGTCTTGAACTGCAAAACAACAATGGTTATAATAGGCATTTTTGCAATCTTACATTCTCAGAGACTTACTTCCCAGTTGAGGCAGTAGTAAAAAGGCCCAAACTGAATCTGAAGGTATGCTTTGTCTATGTTTATACAGGGATAAACAATTTATCACACACCACAAAAGCATCTATCTCTATACTTTACCAAAAGTAAAGGTTGTCAATGTTGAAGGGTTATTCCCTGGCGAAGGGATGACATCACCATAATAGAGTGTAAAGTTGTGCACGTAAGAGGTACAAGTGAGGATGATGTCATCTTCCAACACAATGTCGGCTGAGGTCACTCCAGGTGGGTAAACCCTCTCATTTTTCTTAACGACATTCGTGGAGCAATAGACAGTGTAGATGATGGAGGTGGGGAGATGGACACTGCCACTCCAGGAGATCCTGACAGCTGTGGCATTCACTGTGAGAAACCTGACTCCTTTTGGCTTATCTGTAGGTAAGAAATACACTTTACTGCAGTAAACACATTTTAGTGCAGTAAGAACTAAAAATATTTTTACTTATACAAATTTTTTTGGAGAAAAAAACCAGTAAATACAAGGAAAAAGGAACAAAGAACGCAGAACTAAAACGAAACTAGTCACATAGAAAGTTTATTTGGAAATCCTCATTATCTCATTACCACTAGCTAAACCGCATGTCCTTGGTTTTTAACTCTGCATCTATCTCTATACTTTACCAAAAGTAAAGATTGTCGATGTTGATGGATTATTCCCTGGCGAAGGGATGACATAACCATAATGGTACGAAGGGATGAAATCACCATAATGCAGTGTAAAGTTGTACACGTAAGAGGTACAAGTGAGGATGATCTCATCTTCCAACACAACGTCGGCTGTGGTCACTCCAGGTGGGTAAACCCTCTCATTTTTCTTAACAACATTCGTGGAGCAATAGACAGTGTAAATGATGGACGTGGGGAGATGTACACTGCCAGTCCAGGAGATCCTGACCGCTGTGGCATTCACCAGGAGAAACCTGACTCCTTCTGGCTTATCTGTAGGTAAGAAATACACTTTTACTGCATAAAACACACTTTAGTGTAGTAAGAACTAATATGAAAATAGTCAAGTTGAAAATTTATCATTATCTCATTACCACTAAACCACATGTCCTTGGCTTTAACTCTGCATCATCATCAGTTATGAAACTCCTTACCATCATCATCAGTAATGAGCACCTCTCCAGCAGTTGTACTGAGAGTTACGAATGACGATATCTTAGTGAGACTGAGGGAAAATGTCTCCTCTTCTGGTTCATTCACCAGGTCATCTGTGATGATCACATTCATGCAGAGTAGGGTGTCACATGGAGCAAATGTCAACACTTCAGTCACAGCTTCATAGTCTGAAGGGCTCACTAGATCAAAGAGAGTATTGTATGCTAATAATAATTATTGTGTAAGCAATATATACCTGCACATTCATCGGTGGTTGAAAGGGTGACCTGAAAAGACTGAGTGCTGGGACATGGAGTATTGGCTCCTACTGCAGTGATACAGATCTCAACAGCTTCCTCTGATTCTGAGACAGTGTAGGACGTTCTCTCCAGTCCAACCACAAGTGCTGTGAGACAGAAAAACAGAAGAAATCAACCTTTCCAAAGTTGTATACACCTAAAGGCTATTTAGGCTAGTTCAAATAACCAAAACTGCACCATGGCCCCAAAACTAGGTACTCACCTTCAGTGTCAAAGTAGGTGCTGTTGAAGGGTCCAGTACCAACACTATTGACTGCTGCCACTTGAACAATGTATGTAGTGGATGGAGTCAGTCCAGTTACAGTTGCTTCTAGAACATCGCCACCAACTTCAACTGTTTCTTCAACTCCCCCATTCCTCAATACTTGAACAGTGTAACCTGTTAAGACTCCATTGTGATCGTAACACTCTCTTTCTTCCCATTGGACAGTGATGCTGTTTGGTGTGATTGTATCTCTCCTGAATCTCCGGGGTGGATAAGAAGGAACTGTGGAGAATTTACAAACATCATGGTTAGTACGAAAAAGAGAAACATTCTCTGACCTGCTTCCCGAGTGGTTACAGTGATAGCATTACTGGCTGGACCTCTACCAGCATCGTTGATTGCTCTCATAGTAATGTTGTACCTACTGTCTTCCTCCAGTCCAGTTATGGTGACATTAGAAATATTATTGGCAAAGCTATAGTCGTTGTAGGTGTAGGGACAGCCAAATGAGCCGTCTCTCTGCCAATGTACAAAGACACCAGTCACTACTGAGCCACTAGGAATACTATGAGTGATATTGATGGCTGTGGCATTAGCTCTTGCACTATGAATAACTGGAGCTGTGAATGGAACTGTGTGAAATATAAAATCATATTAATAAGAATATATATCCCATATCTTTTATTTACCCAAGCCAACAGATGCTGCCTGTACTGGTAAACTGGAAAAACTGGCTGATGCGGTGGTTACAACTGAAATGCTGTAGACATGTCCATTACTCAGCTCTGTCAGAATGTAACTCCTAGTGTTTGCTCCACTGACAATCACAGAGTGACTGATGCCTCCTCCGGTATAGGAGATCCTGTAGCCAGTTGTATCTCCCAGTGGAGAGGGAGGAGTCCAGGTCACTGTGATACTAGTGGGTCCATCCTGGACTGCTGTCACATCAGTGGGAGGTGAACCTACACAACAACATTAATTATTCAAACTCGGAAACTAGCTACTAGATCATACCTGCCACTGTTAAGTGGAAGCAGATGTAGTAGAGGGTTTGTTATTAGCCACAGTACACGTGTACTCTCCTGCAGTAGTCACAGTCAGAGTGTGGGTGTACTGTGCAGTCACTGGGTCATTCAACACAGTCTGGGTTCCTTGGGTGACAGTGGTGGAGTCTCTGGTCCAAGTGACAGTGGTAGCAGGTCCACCAGTGGAGATACAGGTGAGGGTTTGTGTGCTCAGATCATATGTCACACCTCCAGGTATTGTAACATCACCTACATAATATGTGGCATTGTTGGCTTAAGGTATGCATAATATTATATATATATTATAATATGTACCTCAAGTATTATAGCCTATGAGAGGTAGACCTCGACCAGATAACAAAGAGAGGGAACAGAAAGTAACATGTGTGTTGCTAAACCAACAGTGAAAGATTGTGTTTCCCAAAGAAAAACTGATGTACCCGAAGTGCATATAACGCCTCCCTCTTTCACTAAGACATCCTTAGCTACTACAACATGTCACAGTGACAGATAGAATGGAAGGACTGAGTGAAGATACATAACAGGTGAACTATACAAACATGAAAAATAATATATTTGAGGTCTATATAATGGTTACCCAATGGCAGTCTTGTTTATAGAGACTCTGTGATTTATTCCAGTTAGCATTACCTCCAATGTCAGTGTACAGTCCCACATAGACTGTGTCTCTCGCTGAGTTGTAAGTATCATGATGGACAGCATTAGTTGGAATATCACAGCGATAGATACCAACTGGTGAGGTGGGATTGTTACGGTGACCTAGATACACTCTCTGATCTCCACGAAATTCATATATATCACCACCATCACCAGAGAAGGGCAGTCTAGTTCAATCAGGGAAATACCAGTCTCCACGATGGATACCCTGTTGACCACTACAACATGTGCTCAGGTCAGTATGACACTGAACACCTTCACCACCACCATAATAATGTCTCCAGACTAGACTGAGGTCCACATAGGAATGGTTGGCCAGAGTCTGGCTCATGAAGGAGACATAAGGAAAGGTCTGGCAGTACACCAGAGATCAGAACAAGCCCAGGAGAAACAGAACAGCTAGAGCCATTCTTGAAGTAAAAAACTAGTCTAGCTATCAAAAAGTAAAACTATATCTGCTGTTACAGAGGTTTACAACAAAATTTGGCCTGACTTACATCCGGTAAGAGAGTGCCTATAATAGCAGTGAGCAATGCTGTGCGCACATCCTACACAAACATAATTATTATTCCACACAGTGTGAATACTGAGGTCCATGTAGGAGTTGACCAAGTAAAAAGTCTTTCTCAATATTGTTGCTTTGACGGTCATAAGAAAGGGTCTCAGAGTAAACCAAGGGCTACGATTAGCTGTAGCTGTCTTTGAAAAAAAGGCTATCCCATAATAATTATTAGTTCTAATGGTGGTATACATATTGGGCAAGTCGCTAAAAATTTAATCCTCCTTTATACTGTCTTAGGACTGATCTATTCTATAAATTTACCCTTTTTCTATGCCAAGTCTGGTTAACATACACTCACCATAATACTATTAGTAACATACCTCCACTGGCAGTATACAGTCCCACATAGACTGTGTCTCTCACTGAGATGTCATCACCATGGACAGCATCAATTGGAATATCACAGCGATAGATGCCAGTTGGTGAGTTAGCATTGTTCCTACGACGTAGATCAACTCTCTGAGAAACACGACTCTCATAGGTATCACCACCTCCAGAGAAAGGCAGTCTATCTCCATCAGGGAAGTACCAGTCTCCACGATGGACACCCTGACCACTAGTACAACATGTGCCCAGGTCAGTATGACACTGAACACTGTCATTACCCTCGGCGCGCATGCGCAGCGAGGGTACTGTAGTTGGGTGTGTGTCTGTCTATCTGTGTGTCTTACTCTACATCTCACCTCTCGAATGTCTGTTCGTCCCAGAAACGATACCATCTACCCAACGGGTGACGAAGGTCAGAAAATAAAGGCGGTTTTCTCTGAAAATGCTCCGTTGCAAAGCTAGAGCGTTTCCGGCATTCTGCGGCTAATGCGTAGTCGGCCATTTTTATCGCTGGGGAAAATGCGCATGCGCTTATCTTTTCAACAGGCTTTAAACCTCGACCGGGTCCGCTTGCTCTGTGTATCTTGAAGGCACAAGAAGTCACAACGAAGGGCGTGTATCGACTCTCGCATACCATCTACTACTGTAGCTAGCCCGTGTCAGACTCTCTGCGAGCTACTAGCGGGAGACCACGAGTAATAGCAGTACAGCAGTTCGCCGAGGGTTTGCACTTTAGTGCTTTTCATTACCACTGCGACCATCCCCCACTAGACTGAGGTCCACATAGGAATGGTTGGCCAGAGTCTGACCCATGAGGATACATAAGGAAAGGTCTGGCAGTACACCAGAGACCAGAACAAGCCCAGCAGCAAAATAACAGCCAGAGCCATTTTCCAAGAACTAGCTACTCCAGCTATTACAAGTCACTTGTTGCAGACTGAAAGTCACAAGCATGGACTAAAAACAGCAGTTAGCATCCAGAAGCATTCCGGTTACTTAATATAGACTGAGGTTTACATGAAACTGTTTGCCACTCTCTGAATAGGCCAGTACAGACTCAGCAGGTACACACTTACAAGGCACATTTCAAAAACTGGCTAACAGCAAATGGCGTGGTCACCGTAATTTGTGCAAACATACCATGCACAATCCTTATACAATAACATCATTGCTCTTAGGTTGTGGCCCCTTTATTTATCTGGGTTAATCAAGCGAGCATTATATTTAATGAGAACACTATTATGCAGAGAACATTCCTCCACTGCCAGTATACAGTCCCACATAGACTGTGTCTCTCACTGAGAGGTCAGTATCATCATGGACAACTTCAGTTGGAATATATATATGTTATGTACTACGTGCGAGGGACATACCGGATTTCGAGTGCCTCCGTGTCCAGAGCGAGGGCACTACGCGGATGGCCCGAGGAATCCGGTATGTCCCGAGTATACGGAGTACATAACATGTTTAGTGCAGAGCAAATCAGCTCCGTATACGCGCACTGCCGCGTTTCCAAGCACAGGGAATTTGAAGGATGGTAGAAAGAGACGAGAGCGCAAGACCGTCATCTCGTGCGGGACTATTGAACGCCGAACGCTAGGATACGCTGCTCCGCCGCTCTAGCTACTCCCGCTGCGGGACTGTCCTCCCGCCACTCATCCGAAGAAACGCGACAGGAGACCTGCGCGAACCATCGTAATCAGAGAGAGGCGAGAGTGGAGAATTCAGGCGCTGTGCGGGCTGCTATACCGAAGGCGTAGATTTGCCGCGCGCACTCGCCCGCGGAGCCCCACCCCCTTATTTGCGTGCGGAGGTTTGTGGGCGGGCGTGAGCTGCCTGGCTAATAGTGGCTATCTAACATGGCAAGGAGGGAGATGGGCTCAAAGCAGACACAGAAAACTGTCTCGTGGAAAAAGAAAATCAAGATATCAGTTATTTTGATCAACATTTTGTACAGATCATGTTTTGCGGGATACATTTCGTATATGAAATGCTGTTGAACTTGTTAAAAAATCAACAGAAAAAATAAGGTTTCATATCATGTTTTCATGTTACTTTTGTTAGCTCACGAGGTTCATATGAGAAATCAGGAACCTCGTACTAACAAATCTGATTGGTCGATTCGAATCAGCTATGCACTAACACAGCGATAGACACCGCCTGGTGGGGTAGCACTGTTCCTACGACGTATGTCAACTCTCTGACTAGCACGTTGCTCATAGATATCACCAACATGAGAGAATGGCAGTCTAGTTCCATTAGGGAAATACCTGTCTCCACGATGAGGACCATCAGTATTAGTACAACATGTCTCCAGGTCAGTGATGCACTGAACACTGTCACTACCACTGCCAGAATTCCCAACTAGACTGAGGTCCACATAGGAATGGTTGGCCAGAGTCTGACCCATGAAGGAGACATAAGGAAAGGTCTGGCAGTATACTTCTCCCACAGACCAGCAGAACAACATCAGCCATAGCAAGTGTACCACAGCCATGTTTCTCTACTCACCCTACTACTGCTGAATCATGAGCCAAAAGGAAGTAATTAATTATCACTACTAGCTCTATCTACCCACATGAATGGAGAGGGTAATGATTTGTGATTTGTCATCTCATAAATTACTCCTAACAAGATAGCTACAGCCAGCAAAACGGAAGTATTGATTATCCTAAAAATTAATTATCTCTTTCATCCACATAAAAACATAAAAGAGGATGAGAATGGAATGAATTACCATAGGCATTGTCAGAAATAACAACAGTACTGTAATCTTCATAACAACATTTGTCCTGATACATCCGGTAAGAGAGTGGCAGTACTCTTCACATCCTACACAAACATAATATATTCCACACAGTACCACTACAATGTATACTGAGGTCAACATAATAGGAGTTGACCAAGCAAAAGTCTTTCAAGAATTGACGGTCATAAGAAAGGGTCTCAGAGAACACCAAGGACTACAATTAGCCATTACTGTCTTAGAAAAGCTGTTTTTAATGGTAGGCAAGTGCCAAATTTCTAGACAAGTGGCTAAAATGTTAATCCTCATTTACACCCTCTTAATGATGGACAGATTTATTCTAGTTTCACTCTCTTTTTTCTATGCCAAGTCTGGTTAACACACACTCACCATAGTACCATAGGACACATTAGTAACATACCTCCACTGGCAGTATACAGTCCCACATAGACTGTGTCTCTCACTGAGATGTCATTATCATCATAGACAGCAGTAGTAGGAATATCACAGCGATAGATCCCAGTTGGTGAGTTAGCATTGTTCCTACGACGTAAGTCAACTCTCTGAGAACCACGACTCTCATAGATATCACCACCATCCAGAGAATGGCAGTCTAGTTCCATCAGGGAAATACCAGTCTCCACGATGGGGACCCTGACACCACTACAACATGTGCCCAGGTCAGTGATACACTGAACACTGTCACTACCATCTGCCATCATTCCCCACTAGACTGAGGTCCACATAGGAATGGTTGGCCAGAGTCTGGCTCATGAAGGAGACATAAGGAACCCTCTGAGAGTGAGCCAGAGACCAGAACAAGCCCAGGAGCAACAGAACAGCTAGAGCCATTTTCCAGGTAAAAAAACTAGTCTAGCTATCAAAATGTAAAGCTCTCTGTTGTTACAATATCTACTTACACATCCTGGATGGAAAGTGGCTAAAATAGCAGTGAGCAATTACCCTACACATCCTACGCATTCCGCATAGTCACTGCAATTTACTACATAGCTATATTGAGTTCCACATAGCTCAGTAGGAGTTAACCCAGCAAAAGCTTTCAAGAATTGACGGCCATAAGAAAGGGTCTCAGAGTACACCAAGGACTATAATTAGCCGTAGCTGTCTTTGAAAAATGTAGGTGTCCCCATTATGAGTTCTAATGGTGGTAAGTATATAAGCTAGGTTACGGCAAGTGGCTAGAAAGTTAATTCTCATTTACATTGTCTTAGGACTGATCTATTCTAGTTTCACTCTCTTTTTTCTATGCTAAGTCTGATGGTTAACTTAGGACACAATCTCCATAATACCATAGGACACATTAGTAACATACCTCCACTGCCAGTATACAGTCCCACATAGACTGTGTCTATCACTGATCTGTCAGTATCATCATATAGAGTTGGAATATCACAGCGATAGATACCAATAGTTGGTGAGTTAGCATTATCCCTACGACGTAGCTCTACTCTCTGAGCTTCACGTTGTTCAAAGATATCACCATCTCCAGAGAATGGCAGTCTATCTCCATCAGGGAAATACCAGTCTCCACGATGAGAACCTTGAACATCACGACAACATGTGCCCAGGTCAGTGATACACTGAACACCTTCACCACCACTCAAAGTCAGTTCCCCACTAGACTGAGGTTCACATAGGAATGGTTGGCCAGAGTCTGGCTCATGAAGGAGACATAAGGAAAGGTCTGGCAGTACACCAGAGACCAGAACAAGCCCAGGTGTAACAAGACAGCTAGAGCCATTTGCCAAGACGTAGCTACTCTAGCTATCGTAAGTCACTTGTTGCAGACTGAAATTCACAAGTACGGCCTAAAAACAGCAGTGAGCATCCTACACAAACAGTTACTTAATATAGACTGAGGTTTACATGAAACTGTTTGCAATAGGCAAGTACAGACTTCCAGCCAGTGTATTACAAAGGCACATTTTCAATACCCCACAAAAAACAGAAAAACATTGTCGACACAGGCTAACAGCAATGCGTGTGTGCTCACGTCATTGTGTCGAAAACTACCATGCACAATCCTATACACTAACTATCATCTGCTCTATTGTATCGTAGGCTGGGTTGTGCGCCCATTCCATTTATCTGGTTAAGCACTTCTAGCTAGCTCCTTGTCACCTGAGAACACTATCTACTGCGAGAACATACCTCCACTGGCAGTATACAGTCCCACATAGACTGTGTCTCTCACTGAGATGTCACGATTATCATGGACAGCAGTAGTTGGAATATCACAATGATAGATACCAGTCGGTGAATTAGCATTGTTCCTACGACGTATGCCAACTCTCTGACTATCACGTTCCTCATAGATATTACCATTTCCAGAGAATGGCAGTCTAGTTCCATCAGGGAAATACCAGTCTCCACGATGACCACCATAACTACCAGTACAACATGTGGCCAGGTCAGTGATACACCGAACACCTTCATCACTACCAATGTCAGGTCTCCCCACTAGACTGATGTCTACATAGGAATGGTTGGCCAGAGTCTGGCCCATGAAGGAGACATAAGGAAAGGTCTGGCAGTATACTTCTCCCACAGACCAGCAGACCATCATCAGCCATAGACAGTGAATCACAGCCATGTTTCTCTATTAGGCCACTTAATGTTGATTACTGCAGTGCCAGCAAAAAAATGATTACATATCCCACATAGCTACCATACTTAGAGAGATTGAAGTGAAGATTACTCAGCAAACCGAAGAATTGATGATCTATCCTACAAACTATTTTATCCACCCACATGAAGGAGGATGAAAATTGACTAGAAGTCATGGTCAGAAATTATAGTGTACTGTTTAACAAGAAAAATACGAAATTCGATATTGCAGTTTTAGTGTTTAGTCAAGTTTTTGTTGCAAGCACGAAATGGAGGAACCTCAGTTCCAATCATCTACACATACTACAGTACAGACTGCTTGTCTACTATTAACACTACAGCAGCATAAGAACATGTAGTAACTATACAACAAAACACATACTAGTATATAATTATAGCTAGTACTTTCATTACATCTAGAAGTTCGCAGAATATACGACACACTCTAAGAGTATAGTTTCAACAGCCTCAAGACGACAGATATCTCCTCTCCAGGTTCCTCAGAGCACAGACATTGAGTGTCTGAGTGATCCTCTCTCCCAGTCCCGGGTCATGCCTGGTTCCAGTCTCACACTCTTCTTCATCGAGACTGGAGATAGAGGTGGGGCAGGAGGGACTCACCCTCACCAGCAGACCATCGAGGACGAGGGAGGGACCCGTGGACACCCAACTCTGAATAATGCCCACCAGGTGGGTGGAGTTTGTGGTGGGGAAAGGGTTAACCAGAGTGGTGCGGTAGGTTGTCTTAGTGGGGTTGCCATGGCAAAGAAACAATCCTGGCCTCAGAAATGTACGTGTTAAACTGTAACACTCAGGGCAGCTTTTACGTATGATGACAATCAAGTACAACTGTAGCTGTTCTTCAATGGCACGAGCAATCTTCTTGAACTAAGAAATGGAGCAAAGAAGTGAACAACCTTGTTTTACAAAATTAACTTACTCGTAAGTCCAGGCAGTAGTAAAATGGCCCAAACTGAATCTGAAAGACACCCTTATCTGTAGAGAGAAACCACTAAATCCGAAACCAAAGACTAACAACTCCTTTGCCAAAAGTAAAGATTGCTACAGTCTGGTTTGGGATGACATCATCTGGAATTATGTAATGAAGAGTGAAGTTGTGATAGGGAACGCGCAAATATTTGCGCATTCCCTATCACGAAAGCGACGCTGATACAAACGAGCCTCTCTGCTCAGGAGTCTCACGGGCACCATGATCTCTTTCCCACTTTCTTCGACGCCGAAGGGCATCTTCCAGGACTATATGCACACGTATACGCACGACATCATCACAGGCAGGCAGCATGTGACCTTTCGGATAAAAAGAAGCGCGTAATCCTGGAGCATGCGCAGTTGGACGACGTACGGTCGTAGATTAGAAAATCTGCGCCGTTCGTACCACTAGGTTAGCTCGCTCCCGCTCGCCAATAACTAGTAGAAATGTTGAACATTGATGGCGAGCGGGAGCGACCCAACTTGGGATTTGCCCGCGATGTTCGGGCTGCATAACGTGCCGTCAGCGCACAGCTTTCCTTTCGTGAAGCAACACAGATCTACTTGTCGCTGTTACATGCGTATTGCACATTGGCAGAACGGTGAGCAGGTGAGCAGAACGGTACTTACCTTACGCTTTAAAACACAGTAGTTTTACGAAAATCGGCTTTTTAAAAATCAACCCAGTGTAGCACTGAACCCGATCATATCGTTATTTACCTGATTTCGTGCGCGCGGTGGCAGAAAACGTGGTAACAGACAGACTGACAGACACACTTACGAAACAACTACCGTAACCCTCGCTGCGCATGCGCGCCGAGGGTTAACTACTCTCATCCTCCAATGCCTTCTGTAAGTCAGTGCACACATTTGTAAGTGGCTAGCTTGCGTTTTGCTGTTGATTTGCACGAGGAGCAACTTGGCAATCTGCGCCGTGTTACGCGTGCCATGCCTTGCCAGGCGCCTTCATTCTTTGTCCCCCAGGTTATAGCTATCATTATAGTCTGATTTCTGAAGCCTGCCCAATGAAACCACCACCATAATATGTGCCACAACCTAATCGTGTCCTTGTTGGAGACACTTATGCATACACCCTGCTTCAGGTAAGAGCAGTCCATTAGCTTCTGCTTTCAACAGTTATCTCTACAACATATACCCATGAACATCAGAGTGACTGAAAATGCAGTGTTGTCATAAGCCATTAAAAATAGTGGAAACAAGTGGAAAAATCATTTCTTCAAAATGAAGGGGGATATAGGGATGGCTTAAAGCACCAAAAAGGAAGAAACAAGGGGGCATTACCCACCAAATATGCACAAAGCCACACGACACCATCCTTATATCTTTGTTTTATTGTTCATAAGCAAAGTTTAATATGAGACAAAGATATAGGGATGGTGTCATGTGGCTTTGTGCATATTTGGTGTGTAATGACCCCTTGTTTCTTCCTTTTTGGTGCTTCAAGCCATCCCTATATCCCCCTTCATTTTGAAGAAATAATTTTTCCACTTGTAAAGTTTCTCCCCAAGCAAATTAACAACAAATCGTAGTCTCGCGGGAGCGAGGGAGTACCGAGGCCGCACGACGCTGCGCATGTGCGCGCGCATCAGCAGGAAATGCCCTCTGAACTGCTGACTGCTGAGTTAGCAGCAAATGGCGTCATTCAGTGTCACTCTGGAAGAGCTCCACGATCTGCTGTAGCGATGTGTGACAACAAAGAAACGATCACTTGGTGTCCGTGCACACCTCTGGCGAATCTGGAGACGTTCAGTGAAAAAATCATCGCTTGAACTGGTACTGGTAAGAAGATAGCGGGTTTACAGAAGAAGAAGATGATGATGAAGAATATAATGACACAGATTGTGAAATCGCGTATGAGCGAATTCTCGCGTGGACGACTGAAGGTGCGTATGAATGAGGTCTTTGGGAGCATGTACAGGTTTAGATATGGGCCCATATACTATTGCTAGTGTGTTTTGAAGCCTTAGGGAGTCATTCTTACAGAGTTTATAGGTGTTTTTACACGGATCACGTGAGATTTCACCTGTGCCATCCCTATGTTAGAGCATCTACCGATGCTCAAATATAACACAACCTCAACCTCAAACCACTGTGCTATGGCACAGTATACTCATTCACACTGTCTACCTTAGCGGAAAAACAGCTTCTCTCTCCGTTTTTGAGTCGGTAGTTAAAAGTTCAAAATTGTACATGGAGAGGGAGAACCTGGGAATTTGAGTAGCTATACATTAATTTACCTCCTGTAGGTCAATGTTAGCTCCGGCCTCTATTAGCAGTGAAACAACTTCAGTCCTGCCATTCCTAATAGCCACCATCAGTGCAGAGTCTCTATCCTGTGTGAAGACAGATATGAAAGGTCCGATAACAATGTGTGAGGTGATGTGTCTTAACCTTATCTCTGCCATTCACGTCCACTCCAGCTGCGATCAGTGAAGCAACTATTCCCACATATGCTGTTTCAGAGGCAGATCTCAGTAGCTCATAAGCCTAGAGTAGAATGACAGGGAGCACAGTACAGCATTCATAGTATTCCTATTGTTTACTGTTCTTGAGAAGTAGTTTCCTGTCTATACAGTAGCAACATGTGAAGTATACATACAAACCAGGAAGGTCACGAGATGGAGTAGAACTCTGTAGCATTATTCAGAGATTAATGTTCACCTCCTCCTGCTGCTGACCCAGCGTAGCTCCAGCTTTCACCAGTAGGGAAACATCTTTAGTTCTACCCTTGCTGGCAGCTATCATCAGTGCAGAGTCTCCTCTCTGTGTTATGACAGCATACATGTCCAGTAATGACACATACAATCCTGGGAGGTGTGTGGGCCAGGGGCTAGGGCTACAAGTAAATAAAAAATCCTGCAAATCTTAAAAAAGAGGCCTATAGGGATGGTATAAAAAGAAAGGGAGACAAGATAGGGATAGAATACATGAAGCATGGTTAATGAACAGATTTGACCATGGTCACACCCCCGACCCCATTACACAATCCCTATATTGTTCCCTGGTGTGCTACTCGTAAACTCCATTTGTACTCTTGGTTACTCAAGTAGCACGACTTTTTTTGTATTTTCAAGCTGTAAGTCCTGACTATTGTAATGGTGAATGTTTAATACTTCACAATATAGATGGGGTTGGGGGTGTCAGCATGCTCAAATCCGTTCATTAACCATGCTTCATGTATCCCATCCCTATCTTGTCTCCCTTTCTTTTTATGCCATCCCTATATGCCTCTTTTTTTTAAATCGCAGGATATTTTAATTTACTTGTCTCCATTCATTTTTATTATACTATATACTATATACGTATATCTCTGTGAAAGGGGGCAAGCCCCCCAAAAAAGTAATAACAGAGAAAAATGGCTGTTGTTGTTTACAAACATGTGGTCACCATGAAAATGATGAAATACACAGCTTCTCTCTCCGTTTTTGAGTCGGGAGTTAAAAGTTCAAAATCGTACATGGAGAGGAAGAACCTAGGAATTTGAGTATACATTAATTTACCTTGTTCTGTAGGTGAATGTTAGCTCCGGCTTCTATTAGCAGTGAAACAACTTCAGTCCTGCCATTCCTGATAGCCATCATCAGTGCAGAGTCCCTATCCTGTGTGAAGACAGATATGAAAGGTCCGATAACAATGTGTGAGGTGATGTGTCTTAACCTTATCTCTGCCATTCACGTCCACTCCAGCTGCGATCAGTGAAGTAACTATTCCCACATATCCTCTTTCAGAGGCAGATCTCAGTAGCTCATATGCCTAGAGTAGAATGACACGGAGCACAGTAACAGAATTCATGGTATTCCTATTGAGCCCGCTTGCTCTGTGCATCTTGAAGGCACAAGAAGTCACAACGAAGGGCGTGTATCGACTCCCGCATGCTATCTACTACTGTAGTCCTTGTCAGACTCTCAGCACGGGAGACCATGAGTAAACATATACTAATAACCCAGCCCATCAATTAGCGGTACCGCGCACGTGCAGTTCGCCGAGGGTTTGCACTTCTGTGCTTTGTCATTCAGAGATTAATGCTCACCTCCTTCTGCTGCTGACCCAGCGTAGCTCCAGCTTTCACCAGCAGGGAAACAACTTTAGTTCTACCCTCGCTGGCAGCTATCATCAGTGCAGAGTCTCCTCTCTGTGTTATGACAGCATGTATGTCCATGTGGGCTAGGGGAGCGTCTACCAACGCCTCCAATATAACAAAAAGGCAAACCTCCAACCAACCTCCAATCAAGTCAGGAGTTAAAAGTTCATACATGGAGAGGGAGAGTCTGGGAATTTGAGTAGACGTTAATTTACCTCATTCTGTAGATGAATGTTAGCTCCGGCCTCTATTAGCAGTGAAACAACTTCAGTCCTGCCATTCCTGATAGCCGTCATCAGTGCAGAGTCTCTATCCTGTGTGAAGACAGATATGAAAGGTCTGATCACAATGTGTGAGGTGATGTGTCTTACCCTATCTCTGCCATTCACGTCCACTCCGGCTGTGATTAGTGAAGTAACTATTTCCACATATCCTCTTTCAGAGGCAGATCTCAGTAGCTCATATGCCTAGAGTAGAATGACACGGAGCACAGTAACAGAATTCATAGATAGTATTAGCTAGACCCATTGTTTACTGTTCTTGAGAAGTAGTTTCCTGGCTATACAGTAGCAACATGTGAAGTATACATACAAACCGGGAAGGTCACGAGATGGAGTAGAACTCTGTAGCATTATTCAGAGATTAATGCTCACCTTCTTCTGCTGCTGACCCAGCGTAGCTCCGGCTTTCACCAGTAGGGAAACATCTTTAGTTCTACCCACTCTGGCAGCTATCATCAGTGCAGAGTCTCCTCTCTGTGTTATGACAGCATATATTTCCATGTGGGCTAGGGGCTAGGGCTATGACTAGAGCAAAGCAACACATTTTTTGGGCGAGCGAATCGAGCATTGTAATATTACACGCGTTGCTGTTTTTGTGCGTATTTAATACCGTTACAGAGGGATATATATACACATTAAGACAACTAGGTTGGCTCGGTTTGCTCGTCAATTACTGGACATTTACTCTACACACACACACACACACGTGTAGTGAGACACTGATGACTTCACAAAAAGGGCTTAAAGGCATTACATATCTCTTCTAGCTCCTGGCATTCACATCAACCACAGCTGTGATCAGCAAAGCCAATATTTCCACATCTCCTCTCTTACAGGCAGACTTGCAGGTTGCAGGCCAGAATGATACCAACCTGGCTGTGAGATAGGGGGACCCCCCCCCCGCCTACCATGACCTCCATCTCCAAAAACTACTTGGAGGTATATAATTCATACATCTACACATTGCAATGTACACCAACTTTAATGCTCTCTACCTAGGACACTGCAGAGAAGGACACCTTTTACACCTCATAACACACATTAATCTACCACAAACCACAGTATATACATACACTGACATAATTGGCGAGCGGGAGCGAGCTAACCTAGTGGTCTGAACGACTCGATTCTTCCGTACGTCGTGCTACTGCGCATGCGTCAGGATCTGAAATGATTTTTACACACTGCGCCTGTCATGTCCATGCGATGTCTATTCAGCGGCAGTCGCTGCGCTCTTCGATGCCTGGCCGAGGCTGTACCTCTTTTCAACTTTCGTGGTTCCAAAGAGCAAGTTGTAAATAAGCTAGAATGGCTCTGGCAGATACCGTCATTGTGTGCTCGCTCCCGCTCGCCAAAAATGCCATGCATTCGCCTACTTGTAGTACTCTATTCCATAGATCAACTTTAGCTCCAGCCTCTAGTAGCAGTAAAATAACTTCAGTCTTACCCCACCTGACAGCCAACATCAGTGCAGAGTCTCCATTCTGTGTGAGTGTAATGACACACTATGACTTCATCACACACAAGATAACCACTAAGTAATAGTTATAACACACTTACATAGCTAACTTAAGTGTTTTAATGTGTAATAGTTTCATGCTGTGTGAGGAGAGACACGATACTGATTCCCAAAACCACACCTCCTCATACACATAATACCCTGGCATTACATTACCTCATTCTGTAGATCAACTTTAGCTCCAGCCTCAAGTAGCAGTGAAACAACTTTAGTCCTACTCTCCTTCGCAGCCAACATCAGTGCAGAGTATCCATGCTGTGTGATGAGAGACATGTGTAGTGAGACACTGATGAATGGTTCATCACACACTAGACTGTCATTACATGTTATAGAATGTGATAATTATATCGTAGCTTCAATGCTCTCTACCCAAGCCCCTTTATAGGACCCCCTTTCACTTCTCAATAATTATACCACAGTAGAACCATCACAGTTCTTACTACAAAACCTACTCGTTGTATTTCGGAAGGCTCGGTCTCCATATCAACACCAGTTTTCTTGCTCAAACGTGAGATTTCACCCCTGCCATCCCTATATTAGAGCGTCTACTGATGCTCTAACATAACACAAAGGCAAACCTCCAACCACAGAGCTATGGCACAGTATACTCATGCACACTGTCTACTTTAGTGGAAAAACAGCTTCTCTCTCCGTTATTAACACTCGGCGTGCATGCGCAGCGAGGGTTACAGTAGTTGGGTTGTCTGTCTGTCTGTTGCTCAACATCTCACTTCTGGAATGTTTTTTCGTCTCACAAACGATACTACCTACTTAACGGGCAATGAAGGTTGTGGCGATTTTCCTGAAACGACTGCGTTCGAGAGATATGCCGTGAAAACAAGCGAAAAAGCCAATATGCATAATCTCACTGGCTTACCGCAACCTGATCTGCTCGCTCCGTGTACCTTGGGGGCTCAGGAAGTCACAACTAATGGCATGTATCGACTCCCGCATGCAATCGACTACTGTAGCTAGCCAGTGTCAGACACCACGAGTAAACAATACAGATAACCCAGCCCATCAATTAGCAGTATCGCGCATGCGCAGTTCGCCGAGGGTTTGCACTTTAGTGCTTTTCATTGAGTCGGGAGTTAAAAAAAAAGTTCAAAATTGTACATGAAGAGGGAGAACCTAGGAATTTGAGTATACATTATTTACCTCATTCTGTAGGTGAATGTTAGCTCCGGCCTCTATTAGCAGTGAAACAACTTCAGTCCTGCCATTCCTGATAGCCATCATCAGTGCAGAGTCTCTATCCTGTGTGAAGACAGATATGAAAGGTCTGATCACAATGTGTGAGGTGATGTGTCTTACCCTATCTCTGCCATTCACGTCCACACCAGCTGTGATCAGTGAAGTAACTATTTCCACATATCCTCTTTCAGAGGCAGATCTCAGTAGCTCATATGCCTAGAGTAGAATGACATGGGGAGCACAGTACAGCATTCATAGTATTCCTATTGTTTACTGTTCTTGAGAAGTAGTTTCCTGTCTATACAGTAGCAACATGTGGTGTAGGCAGATGTTGAAGTATACATACAAACTGGTAAGGTCATGAGATAGAGTAGAACTCTGTAGCATTATTCAGAGATTAATGCTCACCTTCTTCTGCTGCTGACCCAGCGTAGCTCCAGCTTTCACCAGCAGGGAAACAACTTTAGTTCCACCCTCGCTGGCAGCTATCATCATTGCAGAGTCTCCTCTCTGTGTTATGACAGCATACATGTCCAGTAATGGTACATACATACAATCCTGGTGGGTGTGGTCTAGGGGCTAGGGCTAGGGCTATGACTAGAGCAAAGCAACACATTTTTTGGTGAGCGAATCGAGCGTTGTAATATTACACGCGTTTTTGTGTTTGTGCATATTTCATATCACTTACATTACGGTACGTGTGTCCGTTCACCGTTACAGAGGGATATACATCCACATTCAGACAACTATAGGTGGGCTCGGTTTGCTCGCCAATTACTAGACATTTACTCAACACACACACACACACACACACACACCATTTTTACACTTGTGAGTATCACTAGAGTAAAATACATCACTCAAGACCCTAGAGTAACAAGCCCACTTCCTCCTTTAGGAAATTCCATACCTATGACATCACAACTCCCTATAAATACCCCACTGTGAACCATAAGGATTGCAAGTCCCCCAGAGAGCCTAAGGTATGTTGATTGTAACTACTTCAATACAGTACTGTAAGCTGTAGATTTTACGGAGAGTCTGTGACATTGGATGTGTGGGGAGAGTTGGCTAGCCATCAAAGATCTTTAACCCACCGTCCCCAGTTCTCAAGGCTGGGCATCCATGTCCTACTCTTTTGCTTGTATATGTAGTACATACACACACATACTGTTCTGCTCTAATATTAGTATATATCTTGCTCTCCTAGTTTCCCTATTACTCCCATAACTTAGGTGCCCTTGCAAATAATTATATTATAAATGACACAGAAACTATAGAGTAGAATAATAGCACAATATTGCCCAATGTATGTCCCCAAGTAGAGTAGAAGTGAGTCAACAGTTAATGATGCATACACTCTGGACATTAGATAGATGACAGACAAACAGGGCAGAGGGGCAGGGCTTGCTAGCTGTTAGGTTTGGGGATTGGTAACGACAGTAATGTAGAACATGCACCAAATAGCATGTGGAAGCACACTGCGGTTTGTAACTCCATGCACAGCCTGAGTGTATGTCTGGTGGTCCGGTGCTTTGATGACGCCGACAAGTCCCCCCCTGGTCTCTGTCACTACACCTCGTTCCCCACAACTCTCCCCCTCCTTTCTCTTCTTAACCCATACCAAACACACACACTGCACACACACACACACACCATTTTTACACTTTTGAGTACTAGAGTAAAATACATCACTCAGGTCGACCCTAGAGTAACAAGCCCACTTCCATACCTATGACATCACAACTCCCTCCACTGTGCATTAGTGGATTGCAAGTCCCCCGGCGCGGCCCAGAGAGCCTCGGCGCGCATGCGCAGAGAGGGTTACTGTAGTTGGGTCTGTCTGTCCATGCTCCAACTCACTTCTTGATGGTTTATTCGTCCCACAAACGATACGTATTAGTTAACGTATAGGCGGAGAGGCGGTACAGGCCGAGGCTGTTGACTATACCGGACGAGGGCGTAGCCCGAGGCGCGGTATAGTTAACAGCCGAGGAGGATTTCCTGTACGCGCCAAGACGCCTGACGTTAACCGATTTTGTAGTCCAACTAGCCAATCACAATGCTGAATTTCTGCTGCGTCATCTTGCACTAATGTACTAATGAAAAGCACTGAAGTGCAAACCCTCGGCGTATTATGACGCGCACGCGTAAGTAAACGCATGCGCCGTACCACTAATTGATGGGCTGGGTTTAGTTTTAGCTGTTACTCGTGGTCTCTTGCCAGCTCGTGCAGAGTCTGACGCGGGCTAACTACACTACTAGATAGCATGCGAGAGGCGATACACGCCCTGCGTTGCATCTTCTGGTGCCTCCGAGGTACGCAGAGCACGCGGATCGATCATGCCGCAGTAAGCCGTTGTGTATTTGCATATTGGCTTTTTCGCGCTCCAGCTTTGCAACGGAGCGTTTTCAGCGAAATCCGTTCGAAATTTCTGACCTTCATTGCCCGTTCAGTAGGTGGTATCCTTTGTGAGACGAACGAACACTCGAGAAGTGAGATGACGAGTAACAGACAGACAGACACACACAGACAAACCCAATGAAAAGCACTAAAGTGCAAACCCTCGGCGAACTGGGCACGCTAATTGATGGGCTGGGCTGCTATTAGTATGTAGTATACTCCCGCTAGTAGCGTCTGACACGGGCTAGCTACAGTAGTAGATAGCATGAACAAAATACACCATGTGATGCCAAGAGAAAAAAGATGCGGAGCTCTGGACAGCTGTTTCAGGCTTGTTGGTCCTCATCAGCAGAGCATACCACAACTTATCTATAGCATGTGGGAGTCGATACACGCCCTTAGTTGTGACTTCTCGTGCCTTCAAGATACACAGAGCAAGCGGACCTGAGCCTGTTGAAAATATAAGCGCATGCGCCTTTTCCGCAGCGATTAAAATGGCCGACTAGCATTAGCCGTACAATGGCGGAAGCGCTCTAGCTTTGCAACGAAGCATTTTCAGAGAAAACCGTTCGAAATTTCTGACCTTCATTGCCCGTTAGGTAGGTCGTATCGTTTGCGAGACGAACAGACATTCGAGAAGTGAGATTGAGAGTAACAGACAGACACACACACACACAGACAGACCCAAGTACTGTAACCCTCGCTGCGCATGCGCGCCGAGGGTTAACTACAGTACCCTCGCTGCGCATGCGCGCCGAGGGTAATGAAAAGCACTGAAGTGCAAACCCTCGGCGCACTGTGACGCGCACGCGTGAGTAAACGCATGCGCCGTACCACTAATTGATGGGCTGGGTTTAGCTGTTACTCTGGTCTCTTGCCAGCTCGCGCAGAGTCTGACGCGGGCTAACTACACTACTAGATAGTATGCGAGATCTTCTGGTGCCTCCGAAGTACGCGGATTGATCCGACTGTGGTAAGCCATCCCGTCCGTTGTGTATTTGCATATTGGCTTTTTCGCGCTCTAGCTTTGCAACGGAGAAGTTTCAGAGAAAACCGTTCGAAATTTCTGACCTTCATTGCCCGTTAAGTAGGTCGTATCGTTTGTGAGACGAACAGGCGTTCCAGAAGTGAGATTGAGAGTAACAGACAGACAGACAGACAGACAAACCCAACTACTGTACCCTCGCTGCGCATGCGCGCCGAGGGTTAAATGACTGTTGTAAACTTTGGAAGCCAGACAATTTGCACTAAGCCTAGCGCTAGATGTTGTGATAAGGACTTCCTGTCCAATACTGATACCAGTGCAGCCACAGCTCAGAATACAGCGTATATTCCTAGCACCGGGTTGTTTGAAGTTGGACTACAAGACGTAATAAACGAGTAATAAGAATCAGTTTAATCGAACGGTTTTCTCTCCGTTGCAGAGACCGGAAAACGAGCATGCGCATTATATTACGACCACGTGGCCGTCCGGAAGAGAAAGACGTCTCCGTGTGTGCCGTGAGTTACGATTTTCCCTGGCTATCATGCCTCCAAGCAAGGTTTGCCCACAATGTCAATCTAGTGTACCACTAAAGCTAAAAGTTGCCAACATGTGTTCCAAAGTAAGAGAAAAGCAGAATATAATTTGTCTGACCAAGCCACGAAACGCATGAGAGTGTCCAAGGCCACTAAAAGAGCGTCAGAAACAAGCGACCAAACTTTGCACAGACAGCAGCAGGACGGAAAGCGCAAAGCAAGCACGAGAGCCAATGAAACAAGTGAGCAAAGTGTGCATAGAAAACAGCAGGACAGAAAGTGCAAAGCAAGCACGAAACAAGTGAGCAAAGTGTGCATAGAAAACAGCAGGACAGAAAGTGCAAAGCAAGCACGAGAGCCAATGAAACAAGTGAGCAAAGTGTGCATAGAAAATAGCAGGACAGAAAGTGCAAAGCAAGCACGAGAGCCAATGACAACAAGTTAGAGCAAAGTGTGCATAGAAAACAGCAGGACAGAAAGTGCAAAGCAAGCACGAGAGCCAATGAAACAAGTGAGCAAAGTGTGCATAGAAAACAGCAGGACAGAAAGTGCAAACAAGCACGAGAGCCAATGAAACACAGCGAGCAAAGTGTGCATAGAAAACAGCAGGACAGAAAGTGCAAAGCAGCAACCGAGAACGCAAGCGCATCGAGAACAGCAACGAAAGTGCAAACAGCACGAGTGACCTAGTGTTGCATAGAAAACAGCAGGACAGAAAGTGCAAGCAGCACAGAGCATGAACAAGTGAGCAAAGTGTGCATAGAAAAACGCAGACAGAGTGCAAGCAGCACAAGTGAGCAAATTCATAGCAACAAGTGACCAGCAAACAGCCCGAGAGCCAATGAAACCAGTGGAGCCAAAGTGCAGAGAAAACAGCAGGACAGAAAGTGCAAAGCAAGCACGAAACAAGTGAGCAAAGTGTGTGCATAGAAAAACAGCAGGACAGAAAGTGCAAAGCAGCACGAGAGCCAATAAACAAGTGAGCAAAGTGTGCATAGAAAACAGCAGGACAGAAAGTGCAAAGCAAGCACGAGAGCACAATGAATATACAATGTGAGCAAAGCTGTCATACAGCCAAGCATACAAGTTCACAAGCACTCCATTTAGCCAAATGAAAAGATACAAATGGACACCAGTTACAGAAAGTTGCACAAAAAGCAAGCACGAAAAACAAAGTGAGCAAAGTGTGCAATAAAAAAACAGAAGGACAGAAAGTGCCCAAAAGCCAAGCACGAGAAAAGCAATAAAAACACACAGTGAGCAAAAGTGTGCATAGAAAAAACACCAAGGACAGAAAAAGTCGCAAAGCCAAAGCAACGAAAAAACAACAGTGGCAAGTGAATTGCATAGAAAAAACAGCAACGGGGAAACAGGGGGAAAAAAAAAGAAGAA